TGTTTCAAATACGTACACATACATTTCATTTTTAATGTGTATAGTTTTTCATATTAATTTTAAATTATTAAATAATTATACTTTCAAAAAAAAATGTTGGGCCCGGGACCCAGACCGGTCGGGTACCCAGAACCGGAACATGACACTTAATACCCGGGTGGAGCCTGGTCTTCAAGAAAATTCCCCGGGCAGGTCCATGCCTAATTGTATAGTACATATCTTGCTTGCTCGATCGATCTGCCAATAACAATATGTAATACTAAATGAGATGATAATGTATTGATTTGCACCATTTGATGCGATGTACTACATTGTTAGGTGGAGCTTTGCCCCACTGAATATTGACACCGTTGTGGTGTTATGCCGTTGAGTTACAGATGCCTTTAATTTACGTACTTAGGCTGTTAGAATTAGGGAATGTGTTGGTTCTTTTTTTTTTAATACCAAAAAGGTTTATATTCCAAAGCTGGTGGTATGTAGTACCTTCAAGCTAGTTTTCGAACATTGCCTTAATTAAGAGTGTTGACAGAAAAAACAGGTGAAATAATGAAACCGACTACCCTAATACTCTCTCCGGTTCTTAATTAAGTTTCTGGTTTGACTTCACTCATATTAAGAAATAAATTTGACTTTACTGTGAAGTGCACTGTTTGACACTGTTTGAACACTGTTTGACACTATTTGACACTGTTTTGGTGTAAATCATTTGTCAAACAAGGAAAGGTTTGAAGTAGGAACTTTAATATGGACCATCCCAAAAATGAAAGTAGGAACTTAATTACGGGACGAAGGGAGTATGATTGCGAGAGATATATTTATACTAATTAATGAATAATGTCAAAATACATAAATATCCCTACAATTATATTATTATTTGCATGTGAAAATTTCTTCACAATTGGTTTGACGGAGAAATCAACTCCACACGTGCACTACGGCTAAGATTGTTAGTGTTTTCAATTTTGGGGTAAATCCGATATTTTATAAATATGCATTTTATGGTTTGACCAAGTCTACACGTTAATATATGGAGTATGTATGTCAAAATTGACCAGTTCATACTTTCCAAACAATGTGAATTGAAAGCCTCAAAATTTGACTATTACTTGAGTACCATACTTTATTACTATCTACTATGGACCATATAGCCATACATGTTAATTAATGATATCGATAGATGCCATGCAACGCCCTCGTGGTATCAAAGCAATATATGTCTGGTTTCTCTTGACTTAATCTATGATAGTGTACGTAGACCCTAGTGCTACACAATTACCTCAAAACGCTAATATATGCATGTCACATGGGAACAACTACCTTACTACCTCATTGATACGAAAAATGCTTGAGGTACACAAAATGTGTACACATATCTGTCCTTCACAAAAAATTTGTCTGTCACAGACAACTTATATTGATACTACGTATGTCATTTCTTCAAAGCATACACTATTATACTACTACTATTAGTTTCACAATATTATGTCACTTTTAACTGGAAAAAATATTGAAAAATAAAAATTGTACTCCGTATCATTTATATATGTTTGAAAAGAGAGGGAGATAGATATTCCTTCCGTCTTAAATTGAGTTGCAAAAATGAGTAAATGACTTTTTGGATTAAACAAATTCATTTTATTCACTTAATTATGATATTTGTTATTAATTAAATTTTAATTTAAATTTTGTAACTTTATAAAGATTTTCTAGATTAACTCACAGACCTATACGGTTTTTTGTTGGATTGCTAATACTCCGAAGTCAACAAATTAAAGTTGGCAAACATTCTTGGCATAGATGTAGCCATGTAGGGAACAATATTTTCGAAATGTTATGAGTATATATTATCTTGAGCAATGCACCATGTACAACCACTTTTGGACAACTATCATGCATATACACTCCGTATTTTTAAAAGCATAAACTTTTCAAATTGAGAGTGAATTGAATCATATTTGAACACTTTATCTATATTTCTCTTTGTAAAAGAATTTCTCTAAATTTTATACACAAAGCCAAAATGATAGCAGAGTAGCAGACTACTAGCGTATATCCTCGCTGCGACAAACTAAAGTAAATGGTGGTGCCAAATACTCCATAATATATAAAATCCCATTTTTGTTTAAAGTTTTGTAATTTTTTTAATTTCTAATTCAATTTTTATAAAAAATGTATCAAATTTCATATTTGTTTTTATTATCTTTCATTTGACACCAATAATGCATATATAAATTTAAACAAAAATATTAAGATTTTTAATCCCAATTTTTTTAGATCAAACATTTTTCTTAAATAGAGTCAAATAATAAATACGGAGTATAAGATATCATTGTTTAAATATTTATTTTTACATCTTTCAATGGTTTTTTTAATAGATCCCAAGTAACAACAAAAAATATTAAACTCCAAATTTATTTATTTTTAAGTTAGAATGTTTGGATTTTCCAATCATAATTATTCACAACATTTTTTTTTGAAAAAAATGATGTATAATAATAAAAATAAGAATTTAATAATAATAAAACTTTGTTAAGTGAATATATTGACGGTACTGGATTGCAGTAAAAACTAAATTGACTGGATGAATACATATAAGCTAGTGGAGAATTTGATTTATTGACGGAACAAGGTTGCGGTTAGCCTTACATGTACCAAGGCGGGTCTTTTAACACTTTTGTACAAAAACAATTCGTGCAAGTTACAAAAACAATTCTACAAAAGACATTTCTTATCCCTTTTTAAAAAGTTGTTATCATGTTACTATAGAAAAAGAGTGGGTCCATTTGGTAGACAAATGATCAGCGTTATCTTTATTATCCTCATAAAGCTGGAAACAGTTTCATAGTACTCGTGAGCCCATTGTATATAGTCATAATACACTGGCTTGGAGTATTAACCAAAGTAGTTTGTCTTTTTAGGTTCAAGATACAATGTGGGTAGGTGATGTATGGATGCTATTAACTGACGAAAAAAATATTTAATTTGTACACATTTTTCGTATACCATTTTACATACGTCATTTAAGAGTTATTTTTTGTTTGTGAATAGCCGGTTTATAGACAAAACATGCTTTATCTGCAAACAGACTTCACAGATCAGACAAAAAATACATGCTCACACATGTGTGTAAGATGGTGTGTAGTGTGTACAAAAAGTGCATATAAGAAGAATTTTTTATTTAATGAAGAGAAATGTTATTTGTACACGTCACTTTATACGCCGACACAATATGATGTGCACAGACAATTCTTTTTTCATTTTATGAAGAGAATTGTTTTTAAATGAATGTCCATTTTCAGCTCCTAAATCAATTAAGCAAAAATCCACTTTTAAGGGATTTCCACATTGTGTTGTTGTCTTTTACTTTCCGCATACCTGTTTTGAATATAAAAGAACGGTTTTTTATATTAATATCGAGAAATCATACAAGAAAACATTCAAACACTTATGACAGAACCGATCATAAACCCTACGAATAGAAATAAAATCAGTCACCTCATACAAAACAACGTGATTCGCTAGACACAAAACGGACAAATTGTAAGTTATGTGTGTAAAGTATATAAGTGTAGTATATTTTTTGTATAGCTTATGAAACACAATCAACTTTATCGGATTTCAAATATGAATCACACAAATTGAAAAATATAAGGTAGAGTTTGAAGAAAAATTATAGGGTTCCAAATACAAATACGAGTCTTTGTCTTAGATTTATAAAACTTTAGTTACTAAATTGATAGAGAAAGAAAAAACTAAATTTATTCTTAATTTAACTTGAACACGAAGAACAACGAAATCACAGTTAGATTTTGATAGAGCAAGAGAGGATAATTGAAGGAAAAGAAGGAAAAATAAGAAGAAATCGGAATAATGGACCAAGGAGATGACCGGATAGATCGGTGAAGAACAAGATAGGATGATTGGTGAACAAGGAGTGTTGGTGAATAAGGAGTATCTGCAATTTTTTAATGCATAATGATACCGTATGCAGATTGACACACTATGTATAACATGCACTTTGTCGTGGTGTGCACTCAAAATAAATATCAATACAACAATTATACATATATAGTATTAGCGTAGCAAGATTCGTATCCACAGGGAAAGGAATACTTCTCTTTTTAATTAAATTGTAACAAGGGGGCTTTAGGTGTGTTTGATTTTAATTAATTAAATACGAAGATAAACGACTTATATGAGTTTAATTAATAGAGATGGAGACTTGGTTTTGCTTTTATCCACTTAATGAAATGTTCGTCGATCCCGGTTATATCTTTAACTATCTTCCTCTCGAATACTCAATCGAGGAGTATCTCCATTTCATCGAGGGTAGTTATTAATAACGAGACGCATTCATTAACAAAACTTGCTACCGAATCAATATAGAACATGCGCCATATATTAACTCGATAGTAGCAATAAACTTAAGATGAAAACGATTGAGATTGATAACCTCAACACAAGCGGTTTATTGGTTTAATCCATATAATTAATTCCCCTTAGATTATTAACCATGAGACGCATGCATTAATAATCCAAGTTTACTACCGTGAAACGGCTGAACGATTAAGGAAGCGCTACTGGAAAATGGAGAAAGTAGCTACCATTTTTGTGATGACCGACATAATTAAGGGCTGAAGTTAACGAAGGTTGAATTGGTGAAAAGAGAAGAAAATTGAGATGTGAAATGTTATGGCAACTAATCGCATCAATTTTTTTTGTTAAAAGGGTAAGTCTGGACACCAAATCAATTTTTAATTTGGTGTTTGTGAATAGAAACACCCTAATAAAATTAAAATTTGAGGTAGACGGGGTCCAAGTTATGCCCTGCCCACCTAGGGGGGTGTTTAGCTCAATGTATAGTGATCTGCAAGCTTGGCTCGAACTGAAACCATCCTTTATGTTTTCTTCTCTGTACTGTACACTTTCATTTAATGGTTAGAACAAATGAACCATGATCATAATAATACATGGCGCGCGGAAAAGGTGCACCATGAAGATTTGAAGAACCATAAAACACTTCTGACTCCAAATAATTATGAACCATAAGAGATTTCTCAACTCAAAATATAAATCAAAACATTACAGAACCTAGCGATATAAAGATGTCTACCACACATCCATACATTACAACCATCTTTATTTGAAAGTATATCAAACCACTAGATTGCAACGACCCATTGTTGCTGTTGTTTTTACTCTGGGGATGGTAGGTTTGCAATGGTTTTTATCTGTTTAGGTAGCAATTTCTATGGAAGCAATCAGACTGTTGTGGCCCATTATACCTTTGAATCAGACTGTTGTGGCCGATTATACCTTTGAATTTCTCGCATGTTGAGTGAATAGTCTTGCTCTTTTTTGGATAGTCTATTTTATGTCTAATAAGGGAGTCAGGGGGGACTGTTGGCTTTAAGAGGTCTAGTGAGTGGGTTTGGTCTATTGTTGGTGGTGGGGTGATGATTTATTCTATTCTAATACGGAGTTTTGTGATGACTGGCATACAAGAGAAGAAACTTGAGACGGGAATGTTATGGAAACTGATTGCGTCGATTTTTTGTGAATAGAAACACCCAAATGAAAACTAAAATTTGAGGTAGACAGAGGTCCAAGCGACGCCCTGCCCACCTAGGCGGGTGTTTAGCTCAATGTATAGTGATCTTGATGCGTAAGGGAGAGGATCTGGAAGCTTGGCTCAAACTGAAACCTTCCTTCTCTATGTTTTCTTCTCTGTGTACACTTTCCTTTAATGGTTAGAACAAATGAACAATGATCATAATACATGGTGCGTGGAAAAGGTGCACCATATATGAAGATCTGAAGAAGCATAAAGCAATTCTGACTCCAAATAATTATGAACCACAAGAGATTTCTCAACTCAAAATATAAATCAAAACATTACAGAACCTAGCGATATAAAGATGTCTACCCCACATCCATACATTACAACCATCTTTATTTGAAAGTATATCAAACCACTAGATTGCAACGACCCATTGTTACTTATTCCAGCTGATGTATGTATGTACATGATTTCCCCTCAGTGCAACAGAAATGGATGGATAATTACTGATATCTCAAGGCTTCTTCTTGACAACAAGAACCTAGCAGTTGGCATTGTGGACACAGTACGTGCTGACGCTTCCGAGGAAGGCCCTGTAATTCATAATCCCTAAAGACATATTTGTTAATAGTTTTGTGATGGTTTTGGTTCTGAACTCGAGGACCAAACACTCTCCTAGTGCCAGAGAGTTGAGAGCTGAGTGTTCTCCTCCTTCCTTGATGCCCTTTGTGTGGAACTTTGGGAGTGTAAACATGTTGAGTGGTGGAGTGAGTCTAGCCTAAAGTGGTGTGTGTGAGTCTAGCTAAAGGGTTGGAGACCTGAGCCGGAAAGAAATCGACTCCCAACAATATTATTCCAACGTTCATACTCCCTTCCTCCCAAATCCCAATTTAAACTTCCTTAACTGTCCTCATGACCTCATTACTGTAGAGTGTACTGTTTTAGCACTATTTGACACTAATTAGCATAACTTTATTTAAGGACGTTCATAAAAGAAAAATGAGAAGTTTTTCAAGAGATAGAGGGACTATACAATAAATGTATTTCAAAAGTGCAAAATAGAAGCGAGGCCCCCAGTCATCTTTTTTTTTCTCGAGGGGGTGTCTGGGGAAGGGGTCTGGGGGCCTGGAGTAAACTGGGATGAAACTCACTCTATAAGTTTCGAACACGAGACCTCCCATAAGGGAGAGTAAGAGTGTGTTTGCGGTTGCTTTAAAAAAGCGCTTTTCAGCTTTTGGCTTAAAAAAAGCTAAAAAGAGTGTTTTCAAATGATAATTTCTGCTTAAATTAATCACTTAAAAGCTAAAAGCTGGAAGCAGGTGGAATGGTGCTTTAAACTGCTTTTCACTTTTTCTATTACACAAAAAGTACTTATTTTACCAAACACTACCAACTTTTACTTTTTCAGAATCACTTTTTTCTCAAACACTACCAACTTTTACTATTAATCACTTTTCCGCTTCCTCAGCCACCAATCATCTAATAAAACAAAAAAACTCCTTCCGCCTCAAAATATATTTTCAACTTTCCTTTTTATGTTGTCACAAATTAAACATACTCTTCCCTTTTATGGGGGAACTGTGAGGTCAATATTATTTTGGTTTCTTCTAAACAAATTTCAATGACACAGATCCATTTCCGAAATTTGTGTGCCAAAAGCAAATTAAGAAGTTTATTTTGGGAATAGGAAGCATACAACTACAAAAACTTAAGATATATAGGTAGTCAAAATAACCTTTGCAGAGCCCCTCTGCTGTGGCTTCCCAGCACAAGCAATTGGATGTTCATTTTTTCTACTGCTTGACATATGGCCTCTTTAGGATCTCCTGCCTCCATGACTGTCTATGCTGTTATCTGTCAAATAAAAAGTCACATATTCTGAGTCTTTCTAAGCCACATAGCTGTGGTGGAAAAGTCAGTTTAGTATACGTTCATCACTGGCCAATTGGCCATATATTAAATTTTTTCTTATTATGATTAAAAGATAATAGCCATACACCACTTATAAGTTTCATCAAGTACTCTTCATTAGGGAAACTGGAGTATAGAATAAAACTAGCCTACACAAGTGGGACATAGGGAGACTATCTATTCATTTAATTTTCATTACAAAGACTTTTCAGTAATGATCAACAATAACACAACAACATCCAAGCCTTAATCCCAAAAGATTTTTGGGTCGACTAACATGAATCGATCCATGATATCAATGTCAAAAAGAGAAGACAGACAAGGAAAAAAAGTAAGATAAAACGGATAAGATAAAGATAAATAAATATAAAATAACAATAACATAAGACCATAAGAAAGATAAACGATAAAAAGATAAAAGAGCATAAATAATAAAAAAATCTAGAAGATAAAAATAACATAAGAACATAAAAAGAAAAGAAGATAAATGGTAAAAGAAAAAGAGAGTGGAAAGATCAAAATACTTAAATTTATCATCAAGATAAATTACCCCATATTTTTTGCAGATATCAGTAGCTTTATCCAAAAGAGCAGTGGCAACTTTCTTTTGATTTTCTTGGATGGTTCTTACCACTTCAGGAGCTGCAACAGTAAAGAAAATAGTGTAAGATCCTACAAATATTTCTTATATGTTTTACATTTAATATGTGATTACACATTCCAATGTATAATATAACAAAGCTTGAAAACAACCATCTAAACTAGTTACACTTCATAAGCCAACCATGTATAAACATACAAATCAATACGATAGTATATCATAAGGCGTTTAATAGATATCAGAGTCGATCAACCTCACAGTAGCCATCCATCCAACTAAAACAACAAAAGAACACACAAATATCAAGATTGCTCTATTAACTACTCCAACGAGCAAGTATCTTGAGATACAAAGATACAAGCCAACATATTTAAGGTACGGAGTATCAAATATTCAATCAGATTGACCTTTTAGAATAAATTTTAAACTCATAATAAAACTGTATGGTTTGTGTAGTGAAACACGATGCCCTTATGAATCTAATAAATACACCTCCAGATCATCTTTTACCTTCACATAAGTATTTCACTCTCATGTTTGCGAACAATAAAGAGATATATCATTAATAGAAATTAACAACGATGCAGTTTTCCATGTCATACCAACGAGAGATTGAAAATTTTGATTTCGAAATAAAATTGTGTTAAATCGAAATAAATAAAATTGAAGTAACATTTCTGGCTCAATACATGTACATGAAGAAAGCATGCATACAGCATATAGGAACATTTTAGCTTTTTTCAGCAGGTTTCTTTACTTTATTAATTAATAAAATATGTTAATTAATTCAGCAGGTTTCTCCAGAAAGTGTATGATAAAAAGAGTAGTGAAAGAAAGGAAAGAGAGGTTACAAGTGAAGCCAAGGGAAGAAGCATAGATATAGCCATAGTCAACGATTGGCTGAACGGTGAAGAGCACAATTTGAGAGTTCAGTAAGGAAGCGTGGAAGTGTTGAAGAGTCCATTCAATTGCATAACGACTGAATTCACTCTCATCAATTGCTATCATCACCCTCTCCTTCTTATCTCCAGCTCCCTCCATTTCCGGATTCTTCAACTTCTCCATCCTCTTCTCAAATGAGCCTTGACAATCCCAGCATCTCTGTGTGAATAACTGAATATTTGTGTTTGTGCACACGTGTCAGTTTTCCTTTTTAAGATGCACACGTGTTAAGTAACCTCTGTATGTGCTTCTGGATAATATCAAACTTGCGGCTGCATGACAGCATGAGGTGCTTACCAAATACTAATACCACGTTACACCTCGGATAACCCATCTTAGATTCGATTTTGATCAAAAACTAAATGTGGAATTAAAGTAGAAAGTTGTTTCGAGTCGGAAACCTCAATTTGATTGGTTCAATTTGTTTCATTTCGGGTTTTTAGGTTTTTTATAACTGAAAAATGTCATTTGATTTAACACGATACGGTAGTTGCGAGGAGCAAACAAAAGCATACTAAAACAAATAAAATAAAAAAGAAGAAATAAATATGTCATGATTTATATAAGTTTGCGAGAGATACACTACAACAAAATATAGCTTTTGTTGCATGTGCAAAATATTGTCATAGGTGCTAAAAATGTCACAATATAATGAAATGTAACCTTTTTAGTATGCTACAATTTTACCTCTTCCGATGTGCCCAAAAACAATTTCAATTAATTAATTAATTAACCAACAGCGCACTAGAAAATTGTTGGTGCTGAAGAAAAAGAAATGGTCATGTCAAGAGGTGAACCAGGGCAGCACAAAAAAAAACTTTAACATACAAATATAAATATAATGCCTGCTGATGAAAGCTCAATATTTGTGGAGCCTAAATCCATCCCCTTCATCTTCTATATACTTGCAGCATTAAACAGTCTACTGCTTTCTTATTCCTAAATCCTAAAGCAGTAAGAACGCAATCTCCCAGCTGAAATATGAGACTGATGACTTTGTTCCTCAAGCATACGGACGGGAGAGGAAACTATACAAGGTTGTAGGCTGGCAGATCAGTCACCCTGTTTATGTCTTCTAAAGACAATTCTCTCTCCAATTGCAGCCTTGTTACTTGTAAAACATCCTGGACAAATGCAACAAAGAACACTCATACATGATACATATATTGTTATGAGTAGAAGAAAACTTTCCGCTTTCGGCCCACAACCGTCAAGTCATTTCCTCTTTTGGTCCTAACTTGTTTTTACTTTTGGTGCATGACTACGACTTGAATGCCCATCTTCAGGTCCTTCTGAACACTTTACCCGGCAAACCTCTAGAGGATTTTCACCAGACAGGAGACGGGAAAGACCAAAGTAGGAAAAATTCAGTCGTCATAAAAATGTAGAAACATGAAAGTCTGACCAAAAAGTGGGGATGATCTAAATCATCTAATAGTTGTGGGAACGAAAATGCAAAACTTTCTAGTTTAGAATGCACAAAGTCATACAGATGGTCATAAAAGGCATAAACCATGCTTAATACAATGATAATGATAACTAAAACTTCATCATCACACTATTTGCAGTGGTCTAATGCATCTTAGAACACTGTCCATTTGTACAATAATGATGGAGAAATTAGTGTACATTGAACTCCATATATGAAGCGTGCATAGCCAGCCATTGCGCATCCATCATTGCAAATGCTATACAGTAAAGCACATCAAATGCATCCTCATCTTCTGCAGGTGCGTGCAATTTTAAACACAGATCATTTGGAACAAACCACATTCAAATCAACTAAAAGCCACACAGTATAAAGGTCATACGCTCATACCTGCTAATAGTTTTACAAAATTGATTCCTGGAAGGCATCTAGGTTTCGCTGCAAGAAACAAAACAAATTAAAATAAACATAATAATAAAATAAAAACCAATCAAATAAATCAAAGCACCCAGGGTTGTTGACTTATTGGTGGATTCATATAGTTCAAGACATATTCATTTCATAGTTTCTTTTATTGTTTCTTCTTCGTAATTTAATTTACATTAGTGTTAAATTAGAATGAACATATACAAAATTCATATATAAGATAATATGAAATCTTATAATTCATACATTTTGTTCGAATTTCAATTGTACATTAATAATCATAAACCATTTCCATATGCAAACTTTTCAGTTAAATTTTAATATCATATATACAGTATGAGTTATTTATACTTCATAAATTACTAAATAGTCATTTCTCTATGACAGTTTGCAGTTGACTGCTGTCAATAATAACAAGCTAATTTTACCAAAAGCCTTTCTTCAAAATCACTAATCAACTCAGTCAAATCTACAACGCAGCTTGATAATTCTACTTGGTATCAAGCACTTGTTAATTTATTGATTTTCCCCACATCATCCTCTTTCCAAACACTTTGCAACTTTCAATGTAAGCTATTCAATAACACGCAAACAGACACACACAACACTCACTTCTTTTAAACAAAAAGAGAGCAGCCCAATAGAATAAGTCGAGTACACCTAGAGCCTGTTTGGTAACACGAAAATCGGCTGATTCGGCTGATTCTGCTGTAATTTATGATGTTCTGGCTGAAGTGGCTGCATTGGCTAATTCTGTTGTTTTAAGAAAAAATTATTTTTAAAATATATTTCATTAACAAAATAAAGAAAAAATATATATGTAAAAATAGCTAAAATGGTCATCTACAGTAACTTCACCCAATACAGCCAGAAAAGTAACTTCAACCTTACTTTTTCTTATTATTACACAATTCAACACCCGAAAACAAAAGTTACGTGTTTGGTGAAAAAGTTGGCTGATAAGCCTAATAAGCCAAAAAACAGTGTTACCAACGACCTCCTAATTAATAATCATCACTTAATTTGGTAGTAACAGTATGTTTTTTGTCCACAGCTGAAAAAACATAGTAATGCAAATCGGAGAATGCATTCTGCTAGACGTGAGCAGCCTTTTAGCAACCCAAGTCCCCAAGAGACCTTTTAAGTACTTAGGTACTACCTGAACATAAGTCCAGCATTTGAATCAACATAAATGAAACATTAATCCCAGCAACTGCAAATGGGTACTCCCATGTTGCGCGGTCTCCAACTTGCTTCAAAAGTAACCTATGGAAACAAGCCTTCCATTTGAATTTATACTATCAGTTAAACAAACACTATGCAGCTTAATTGCATAAATCTAAACAAGATGTAAGAAAAAAATACTACGGTAGTTATCATATCTAAATTATGGAGAATCCTTTGCCCTTTGCATGAGGTGTAGTAATTATGTAAAAACCTTACCGCATAATTTCTTGCAAAATATAGTAAATTCTCGAGTGAAAGAAAACCGCAACCCCTGGTATCAAGAAAGTTATCAACTGAGGCAATTCATTAGTGTTGCATTAATCATATATTCATATGAATAGCCAAAATTATTTCTTAGGTTTATTACATCAACTGCAGGGGAGATGGTTAAATGCTTGTTTTTACCAGAGGAACATTAACATCGAGTCAAGTCATTGATAACAGATCATTTTAATCATTTCCATAACATGTTCTTAATTATAAAACGTTTAAAGAACCTACATATAAACAGTTATTAGAAGATTGCATTTAATAGGTACAAATCAACTTACAGCACTTAACAAAATGCTAAGGTCAACATGTTACTTCTCATATACAATCTCCAAATGATAATATATGGTTGGGGTGGGGCCAAGGGGGTCTCAAAGAATTGGACATACCTGAAATCAGTTGATGGGTTAGATCCTTGCCAACCCATATCCTTCCATTGCTCAGAGATCAGTCCTTTGAGCTTAACGTCTGGAAATGACAAATTCCATAAAGATAAAAGTGCTTCCTGAAATGACAATGTAGTAACAAGATGGATTGATGTTTAAATGTTAGCTTAGAAATATACGCTCATTTTTTGTGAAAATATGTACCCGTTAAGATGCATTGTGTGACTGGAAAATGCATCCCAAGGTTCACATGATCAAAGTTTTAATCATTTCACTGCTATAACTTATTACTTGATTCTGAATACACTGCCTCTATTCATAATAAGTTGCAACAGTTTAAATTTTGCGCCCTTTACATACTTCTACTTTGACCACATTTTATTTATTAGTGTATTTAAAAAATAATATTCATCATCATCGTCATTACCCTAGTGCCGCAAAGGCTCCCACCTACAGTAGGGTAAGGGGGGGTCAGATGTACGCAGCCTTACCCTTGTACTAAAGCAGAGAGAGGCTGTTTCCGGATGACCCATGGTGAAATTCGCGTCGAAAATTACATGGACTGACTGTTGCTTCATACAAAGAAGCACAGCCAGTGTAGAGAGCCATTTTGATTTATTCCATCATACTCCCAAGCCAAAAAACAGTGTCTTTCGCTCCATTAAAAAAATAATGTTATGAAACATATTGTTAAATTCTTTCTCAGTGAAAATTTTCGAGATATGAATTTTTTTATAATTTTTACAAATAGAAAAGGGTCAAATAGACTCTTCTACTAATTTTAATCCATCACTTAAGCCCTTCTACTAAAAAAAGTATCATATAAGCATGCTTACTTTTCAAATATAATCAATCAAACCATTTTGACCTGCTATAGCAGGTTATTTTTTAAAAAATAAATTAGGACTATTGATAAATCTTATAAAACTTCATGTAAATTTGAAAATAATGTAATAATAATCTTTTGTTACTGTTGTTTTTACTCTGGGGATGGTAGGTTTGCATTGGTTTTTATCTGTTTAGGTAGCAATTTCTATGGAAGCAATCAGACTGTTGTGGCCGACAATACCTTTGAATTTCTCGCATGTTCAGTGAATAGTCTTGCTCTTTTTTAGATAGTCTATTTTATGTCTAATCAGGGAGTCGGGGGGCTGTTGGCTTTAAGAGGTCTAGTGAGTGGGTTTGGTCTATTGTTGGTGGTGGGGTGATGATTTATTCTATTCTAATACGGAGTATAAGTTTTCTTCTCTAAAAAAATAAAAACATTAAAATAAAAAAATAAGAAAACTGAAAATGTAAAGTGAATATGTAAAATCTATTAAATAAAGAATCTTTCACAATTTTTATCTATATTTCTTCAAATTTTAGCAATCCTTTAGAGGTTTTTAATATACTAAACCTGTTATTATAGGCCAAAACTGATTAAATGGCCAGATTGATCAATTTTTTAAAGCAAGTGTACTTATATGATACTACCTCCGCCCCACTAACATTGAATTAATAAAGTAAAAATAAAGTAAGTTTATGTGGTTGATATTGAATTGATAAAGTAAAAATAAAGTAAGAATAATTTAGAGCCACATAAACTTTACCAAATATGGTATGAGACAATCTTAGTGGGATTTCCCAAAAAGGTAAAATGAGACAATCTTAGCGGGGCGGAGGGAGTACTTTTTTAGTATAGGGGCTTAAGTGATGGATTGAAAATAAGAGAAGGGTTTATTTGACCCTTTTCCTTTTTACAAATAGGCAATTAAATATACTAATGGTCAATATTGTGTTTGCATATGTGAAAGTCAAACTATTGCAATAAGAATGAATGGGTGAAAGGAGAAGGCAGAAGAAAAAGTTTTCAATTTGCAAGGGATAGACGGAAAAGGCAGAAGAAAATCTATTAATGTGATCTGCCTTCGCTTGAGCCTTGAAATTGAAAGAGAAAAAGAGATGAAGTTTGGTATCATTAAGCTGTATGAGAAAGAGATTAAGTTTGGTATCTTCAAGTATACTTCCCACTTAATTATAAAATGAAATGCTGTATGAGATAATGCTTTTTGGAGAATCGAGACATTTTTGTTTTCTGAGATATTTGTTTTTTCTAATGAAGAAAAATACTAAGTAGGAGAAAAATTAGAAAGAGCTTTGTAGTTCTTACTCGATGATCCGGCCGAAACTCGTCAAAAGGTACTCCTAATCTTTCTTGTAGCTTGTGAAGTCTCTCCTCCTGTGATGAAAATCATGAAATACAAAAGCGTTGTTAAGGGGAAAAATACAGCAGGCTTATAACGTAGGGTATGAGAATAAAGCCAAGATAGACACAAAATTTAACACCGATGCAACTTGAGATGATTTGTAAGGTTAATAGTAGTAGTAAAAGAAAGAGCATTCAAAGGAGAATTAGAGAGCCAGAGAGGGCAAGTTTACACATATAACCAGAACCAAATTCAAAAAAAGGCTACGATATTCTAGCAGTTGAAAACTACCTGTTCAGGGGTCAGAGTATAGTCGATAAGTTTGTCACTTCCATACCGTTTATTGCTTGAGCGGCTGAGAATTCCTCCAATCCATGTTCGTGGTCCAGACATAGCATTAGCTACAGCAGAAGAGAAAAATGAAAATGAGGGTGAAACTTCAACATTAAGTCATATAAGTTGGAACATCAATTTAAAAATAAAAAACACACATCCACTATTTCAAGCTGCACCGTATTGAAAGATACCCACAGCTTTTCAAGTTCATGTGAAGTTGTGAACTACTCCCTCCAGTCCAATAAAATGAATGTTACTGAAAGACAAAACTGGGCCCTATAAATGAGTGTTTCCAAGTTCATTGCTTTGTGTGAAGCCAAAATCATGCCCTTTAACCAAGACAGGAGTAAGCAGTTCTTTTTAAAGAGGTACCAAAGATCAAGCATGTGTCAATTAAAGAACCCGCTTATAAAGAATCAGGCTTTACACTCAAATATATTGTTTCACATTCTGGTTAGTTAAAGTTAAGGCATATCAAAATAAATGTCAACCAAAATTGCTTTATTAACAAGAAATCTACAAAAATAATGCAATGCCAGTACCAAGAAGTATGTCAACTTTTCAACTAATAAATAGATAAATAGTGTGAAATGATGAAATCTAATAAGAAGAGAAGTTTGAAATAATACGCAAACACACAATAATATACTATAATGAAGTAATGATATGTTAATATGTACATATAAACTAAGTATTTGCATCATGCAGAAGGGTCATAAAAGAGTGTCCAAAAATGCACTCACTAAAACACTGGGCTAGATGTGATATCACGTGAGCATAATTATCTGACCACCCTGAGTCCCCACCATGCTTCTGGCTGCCCCAATAAATTTCTTCTTCATCAACCTGAATTTATTATCCTCTGTGAGTATTTAGAGTTGCCCAATAGTGCTGTTTTGGTTAGAATGTGATTGTTTTAAGTTATTCTATTTACAAATAATTTAGATATGAGCTACTAGAGCGCCCATAGATTTAATAAATTTCATATTGTTAATTTGCTACAATTTCTTAGGTGGGGAGATGGAAGAAAAAAACCAATATAGAAGCATCGAGCATGAGCCACTGAATTCAGCTATATTAATTGATGACTAGGGAGAAAAACAAATATAAAAGTGAAAATTCTTAGGAAATATATATGAATGAGAGATGAATCACAAACACTGATGAAATCATGAAATAAGGAAAGGTTACGGTCATTTTTCGCCAGAAGAGACAACCAATTTCCCTTGCAACAAGAAATGAACAGAATGGAATTATATGTTCACCTAAGAAATTCTGAAAATGTGGAACGATAATGCCTTATTCTTCATAACTCACTTGCAATGCCAATCAAATAATCAATATCCTAAGAACATGGCATACAGCTATTTATTTAATACTAGAAGAACGACTTCTGTATCATTGTTTCATTCAGCTTTATATGCTAACACATATCACACTTTATCCCCATCTGAAGCAGACAAAGGCGGTAGGATATATCACTATTAGCAACTGCATTGATGCTTCTTTACCTAAACCGACGCAATTACTCAACAAGGTTAAATGACAAACTGAAAACCATATGATCTCAAGCAGGAGAAGCTTACTCTGTGGTGAGAAACACAAGAAAGCGTACATTGGCTATGCCTTAATTTCATTAGAAATTAAAAAAAAATGTATGATCAGATTATCAGGTGGTTTAGGGCAGAAAGGTAAAAGGAAAGGTGGCATGATGATGAAAATTCACCCAAATGAGTGCCTAACTACATGCTTTGTTTTGTACAGTTTAACCACTCATCATTCTATGTTTCACAAGTCCACTTCTTCCTCCACAGGCTCCACAATAAAAGGTAATTTTGTGGGAGTTGGAATGGATAAATCTAGGATTTGCCTTTCTGTTTGTCAGTTGGTAGCCCTATGTGCCCACAAGATCAATCGACTAGGATTTGAAATTTTGAAAAATGTATTATTCCGGGAAGCAGATTCTTAACCTCAAATTGGAATGTTCGTCCAATGTTAGACTTGAGGGAACAGTTTTTACTAAAACCCGTATGGAACAGGAGATTGATAGCTTAATTTAAGGGAAAGTCTTTGTTGCATTAACTTGATTTCCGGGAGACCATTCGGAATTTCAATTAATGAGTTTGCATAAAAGATGAAAGATCGCCTTTTTGTTTTAATCTAAAAAGAGAAAGGCGGGATTTTCCAGTCACAGTAACGATAAAACAAACTACAAAATCTTGCAATCCATTAAAAGAAAATATGTACCTCAAAGAGCAACGTTGAGGAGAAAGACTGGCTCTTGATTCATCTCCAGCAGAAAATGCTGGCAAAGGAAGAAAGAGATGGACAGGGCCCACAGCGAGTATTGGGAAGGAAAAAAGGTGCACAAACCGGAAGCCAGATGGTGGCGGTGGCGGTGGGCATGAAATCGGAGAAGATGATACTAAATGGGACACGGGGAAAAGGTGCAGATGCCGTGGTTGGCGGCTGTTTCTGCCTTTCAACGCCAGACATGTTGCACAAAACCCGCGTGAATTCCTACATTTTGGAGGCAATGGATACTCATGATTTAAGTTTACAAAAGTGACTAAAGCACCTCAAAGAAAGAAAGAAAATTGATCATCAAACTAGAATAATATATTAAATCAAAAGATCTTTTGCCAATTAGCTTACAATACATTCAGGAATCACATCACAAATAACCCCTAATCTAAGTTGGTAACATGTGCCCTTGCGAGAGAATGAGCAATACGATTCGCAGATCTTCTACAAAAAGAGACAATAAAATTATTCTTTGTCCAATAACCTCCTTATATCATCGATAACCAGATGGAGATAAGAAGAACCCCCTCCTTAATGCATTGAACCATTGAAAGCGCATCTGTCTCTATTTCCACCTGCTGACATCCCTCCTCTTCAACTGTTCTTAAGACCTCAGGCACACCTAAAGCCTCTATTTCAGCAGCAGTCCATCATACCGTGTGAGACGCTCCCCCGCTCGAATGAACTCGTCATTCTCATCTCTAGCTATCCAGTCCCATGCTAGTTTTTGTCCTTCCTGATCCATTCACATTAATTTTTATCACACCTTGCCATGTTCTCTCCCATTTTTCTCTTCTGGTCTCGGTCAGGTAGCCTTCACCGATTCTGTCTCTTGAGCTTCCTTCCAACTAGAAACCATGCTAGTTATTTGATGTTTAGCACACAAGATGCCTCTTGTACCCGATCTTTCCAGAAAGTCTTGTTCCTTCGCTTCCAAATATTCCAGAGTATTGCCACGAACCTGCCTCTGCCATTCCCATCCAGCCTATCAAATTGTCTCATCAGCCAGTCCTCCGTCTCGAGTTGCTCGCACTCCAAGAAGTCGTCTGCCAAGTTCCAGACCTGCTCCACCCGTGCGCATGACCTCGTGACATGGTCAGCCGATTCCGACTCGCTGCCACATAATATGCAACCGTGCAAAATTTGCACTCCCTTCCTTTTGAGATTGTTCATTGTCGGTAACGAACCATCGATCACCTGCCAAACAAAAATAAATAAATTTTGGTGGAACCCTAAGGTCCCATAAGGTTTTTCCCATACCTGCCAAGCGTCCGCTTATATTTCTCCTAATAATAGTCTGTAACAATTCCTCACCGAATAAACTCCATTATTTCCCCCCTTCCACCAATAGTCATTCTTTCGGTTCTGAGCACTTATGGGAATGCTGAGAATCAATTTCCTATCCTCCTCATTAAATAAAGAATTAACTCGCTCGACATTTCATTTTTTACCGGTAATATCCCTCAAAGCCGCCACATTCATGTCTCGGATACATACCATTCCCCACCCGTCTTCTGATATTATTTTTTAAACTTGGCTGCATCTCAAAAATACTTCTCCATATAAATGAAGGATTACTCCCCAACTTAGCACTTAAAAAATCCGAATTTGGAAAATATTTGACTTTAAGAACTCAGCTCATCAAACAATTTTCTTTTGTTATTAACCGCCACCCCTGTTTTCCAAGCATTGCCAAGTTTAATTCTCTCAGTCTTCTGAAGCCTAAGCCACCTGCTTCCTTCGGTTTGCACAAACCCTTCCAACTCCTCTATCTCAGGCCTTTCTGATCCAGCTTTGAGCCCCTCCACCAGAAACCATTCATCAATTTTTCAATATCATCATAGAGCTCATTCGGTAGCAGGAAGACATTCATAGCATACTATTAAGGTAATGTTATTAACAGTTGTCAAGTGCACACTCGTCTTAATAGAAAATATTATTAAATGTCCCAATTTATCTTTCTTCTTTTTCCAATATACCTTCTAACTTAAGTTTTTTAATTTATGTATTACTACGTATAAAATATTTTAGGTATTAATGTTTTATTTGTATTTCTATTTTTAATTTAGGATGAATATTTATTATTTTATATTTTTATTTAATATGGTGTGCTAAGTACTAACATGATTTTTGTGTTATACTAAAATGAGTATAGTGTTAAATAAACATGCATGGGTAAACATTTGTTAATAACACAGGTTGACATTATTTTATAAATTGAACTCGGTTATATTTGTAATTCGAGAACTAAATGACTACAAATTATTTTTAACATAAAATTACTATATTTGCCATTATCATTACTATATGTGTCATTACTATATTTGTCATTATATGGGCACAAATGAACATTTAAACACATTAGAGAATTCAAACGGACTTTTTGATCTTTTTATACTCATTTTGTAAGTTACGTATGTTCATTTGATACTGATTTTATGCCCGTTTTAATATGTCATATTAATGCATATTTCAAAAGTATCATTTTAGATTCGCATAAGAGTTAGATTATATACTTAGGAGTGGGGATCATGATACTCAATTGGGATAATCAATAGAGGAAGTTTGATGTTCAATGAAAATATTTTGATACTCAACTAACAAAGTTTATGAATTTTCATAGCAGTGCTCATTTGATAAATTATGTATGCTCATTTGTTACTGATTTTATGATCATTTTAAAATGGTATATCAATGTTTATTTCAAAAGCATCAGTATCATATTACATTAGATTCACGTAGGAGTTGATTATAGATACGGAAACACAATTGCATGTTTCTAATGCTCAATAAAGAAGATTTGATGCTCAATGAAAATGTTTTGATGCTAAACTAAAAAAACTTATGATTTTAATATCAATGCAGCAATGCTCATTTTGTAAGTTATGTATGTTCAATTAGTTTTCATATTATGCTCATTTTTAAAATGTCATATCAATGCATATTTCAAAAGTACAATAGTACATTATTAGATTCGCATATTGAAGTTCATAGAAACTTAGTATGAATATAATTTAATAAGTTTGTATAAAAGAAAAAATAAGAAAAAGAAAGTGAATTAGAAGATACTACCTCCGTCCCATTTTATGTGTCTTAGTTTGACTCGGCACGGTTATTAATGAAGTGGTTGAAAAAGTAAAAGTTGTGGTTGAGATTTGAGTATAATAAAGTGAAATGGTGTAGACCACATATTTCTTTCCAAAAAAGGAAAGGAGACACTTATTTTGGGACAACCCAAAAAGGAAAGTAGGACAGGTAAAATGGGACGGAGGGAGTATTAGGCAGAGATAAAATGTCAGGTGCTCACTAAAACTGCATTAATGCTCATTTAGCGGAAGACATGAATTTCATTTAAATTACTAAAATGTATCGGTTGTACGATATCGAATTTGGCTCCTCTCCGGTGACTGGATACTTCCAGTAGGAGAGATATAGAGAGGAATGGGGAAATGGTGGGATATGGAAAAATAAGAGATGAGATTTAATTATTATTTTTAAAGAGAGATAGAATGAAAAAGAAATAGAGAAAAGGAAATGATGAGGAGTATGACTCTACTATATCCGTTTCCTAGCTCATGTGGTAGTGTATTAAAAGCGTGATTTGTATATATTTACGAGTAATTGGGCATTTTGTTATCCGACTTCAACTCTTCTCTGTGGACTTGGATCTAAATGAAAATTTAGTCTTGAAAGTCACCTTAAGAACGAATCAGAACCTTAATTAAAATTGACCACGATTCCACGATTCACTACTCCCTACTTAATGAAAATACTCCATATTTAGAATTCAACTTTGAACTCAAAAAATTAAAATAGTTTTGACTTGTACATAATTTTATGAATCGAGGTTGATCTCTAAATTGTTTCGTGCCAAATGTGATTGGTAGTAATTAACAATAGTAAGTGGTGATATGAAATGTATTTAATTATTCATTATATTACTCAATAATGTATACCGTGGGAATGTAGTAAAGTGTACCAAATTAACACATGTATATTTAATTTGGACTTGGTGAAATCTCATACAATTAAGTCTATATAACGCGCACATGGGGATAACTGAATAAGTAAAAGGTAGCCTAACATAACATATTCATAGAAGTTACAAACGAATTCCATCGCATAAAATATTTAAGTAGACATTTACAGTTTACAGTTTTTGAATATTCTTGAAATACTCCTAAAATTTAAAACCCGTGAACAAGGTGTTATGGTCATTCTAGTTTTAAAACGTGGACATGCATGATTGTATTCACTACTGTGTACAATATGTTAATGATGTGTTTACTTAGCTTGGACTGTTTTCAGTCTCATACCATACCAGACTAAAGCAAATAAGACTTGGACAGTTATAAAATAAATAGAGATCACACATTTAATTATCAGATCAGACCGATTCAGACCAAATCAACAAATTCCAATCCAAGTAAACACATCCTAAATACTAATTATTATAGTCATGTGTATTTAAATTTGGTTTTTGCGCTCATGTAGGGTGTTGATCATTAGTTCATTACTTGTAAGCATTTCCATCTCCTCTCACTTTTTAAAAGGGAATTGAATGCTTGATATTTGAGCTCTTGCTCGTCACTTAGCTCCAAATTTGTAGTATTTTTTTTGTGTACACAAAATGTGTACATAAGTTGTATACTGCTTGTGTACACAAACATTTTAACATAAAATTTTGTCTTTTTCCAAACGAATTGTTTGTATACACCGGTAAGTAGAAGGTTGTGTATAAGTTGTGTATTACTCGGTAATTCTCTAGACAACGTAACCTAATTAGCACGGCATCAAAATGCAGTTTTGTATGGAGTACTATTTAGATGGGGTTGGAGTTGGTGAAAGCAACAAGGTTCTACGTACAAATGTACGTACTCATGTGGCTAATCATAGAAGTGCGCGCACTTTATCCAAATGTACCATAAGAATATTCAAAATACTATCACAACATACCATATTTAGAATATGTAGTACACAGTAAGGTTGATCCAACATCAAGGAACCTAAAAAACAACTATGGAATTGAATTGATTAAGATGAGCTAGCTAGCGACTGCAAAATGTTTCAATTGATTAACTTCTAATTAATGAACATACATTTATGTAAGATGAACGAATCAAAGGTGAATTAAGGAACGGGATAAGACTTGTTATCACACATGCATTTGTAGGCCATAGGGCAAGTCTCTGCTTCCTGAGTGGTGGAGCACACATAACTCACCAGCACCAGCTTACATGGGTGACACGATCCACATGCGTGCGAGCAGTCCGGCAACCGCGAACCCGCCG